ACATTTCTGCCCCCATAAATAAATCAATGCTTTAGGAAGGACCTTGATCCCACTAACGTGGAAAGAGAGTACATTTCTACTCCATCTGTGAGTATCACAGGCAGAAGGGAATTAATACAGCTTTTGGTATGATTACCTAGATTAACATGGCTAAATACGAAACAAACACAAAGCAGAAAGCAAATAGGGCCTTGTTTGCTTTAGTTAAATCTCAGCCTTCACAGCCAAGATTTAACCATCCACGCCTAACAACAGCACCCAATTTTAACTCCATCAGCTCCTGCAGTAGAGGTGCTCTTGGCTTTTTTACAGTTTTCTTCGTGTGGAAAAAAAACAAACCAAACCAAACCAAAACACTCCAGATTATAAAAATAACATCATTTAGAACATTTCACTTACAGCTATAAATACAGGGTTCTGCTTGGGCCATGTGAGCTTATGCCACAAGAGCCAGCTCCACACAAACAATGAGTATTTCATCACCTAAATTTAATCTCCACATAAAACACGGGAACACAGGAACACAGTTCTATGAGCCTAGTTTACTTGTGTGGTCTTACTGCTATCAATGGGTCTATTCATGGGGCATGGAATGAGGAATGGAATCCAAGTGCATTACATCAGCAAAATTAAGAGTGTCCCAAACTACCCACAATACATACATCAGTAAAAAAAAAAAAGGGGGGGTGGGCAAAAAGACAATGAGACATCTTGTTCAGGAAAAGCTTTCTTCCCAGGCTACATACTGTAGATGGATGGTCTCCACAGCCAGGTTTTTATCACACACTGAAATCACAGAGTCATCAACTTGGCCCATTAAAAAAAAAACCAACAAAAAAACAAATCCTCTTAGTATTTTTTTATATGAGAACAAAAATCTATCTCACTCTGCTACTTCCAGCAAAGCTTCTTATTTCACAGAAAGTTCAGACTCTGACCCATGTACTAAACTCCCAAGAGTCTCAGAGCATCTTTCTTTGTTGAATAAATCCTCACAAATATAGCCCTGGACTAAAATCTAAAGTTTCAAATGGTTGTCTGTAAGAAAAGGTGCATTGTAACACTTGGTTAATATTTGCACTTTTTTAAAAACTCCTAAACAGAACAAACCTAAGTCCAAAATCTTGCTTCCTACTGAAACTGTGATCATCTGTGATGCAAGGGTTACAACTGTTAATGTACAGTTACTTATGTAGAAATGATGGCACACACTGGAAAAAGCATGATTTTTCTCCCCAAAATTCATGAAAGCATGGGAAACCACTAAAGCCATTAAACTTCAAAATAAATTAAAAAAGGTAGAGCAGTAATTTTTCTGCAATAGAATACACAGACAAACCTAGATGCTGGAGAAACCCAGCATGTATCAATACATCTTTATATACTCTACCAGTACACCTTTATACACTATAATACATATTATATAGTGGCTAATTCATGTAATTATTCACCTATTTCTGTAACTATTCACATTAGTTTGACTTCATCCCAAGCAAAAATAACAGAAGTCATACGGAATTCAGTAAATAAAGAGATACATACAGTAAATGTAATTTTTTAAAGAAAACAGAATTTGTCAGGGTAATTTAAAAATACATGTTTGATTCATAAACATAGAAGTTGGAAAACTACATGCTCAGAATTCCCAAAGATATCTGTTCATTCTATGAGTGGAAATTAAAAAAAAATAAAATAATCCCACACTGAACTGAGACATACTAAAGGATAACAAAATTATTAATTCAAAGATCTCAAATGTAACTTTAAAAATGGGGAAATCATCATAAAAGAAGTGATTCTAATGGGATCCTGTGGGACTACTCTTAGCCCTCTGCTATTTAAAATTTTGATTAATGACCTAGAAACAATATGTAATTATTATTGGAGAGGTTTGAAAATTATAGGGAAGCAGCAAATAATGAGAATTGAACATTGACACAGACAGATTCTTCTGGTTGCTGTATGCAACTGACAGGTATTTTTACAAAAATACTAAGCCACAGATCTAGAACAAAGACTATGTGCTAATTCAGCTTAAAGGACTGAAGTGAACCTTGGATATAAAACCACAGGCAGTTGCCCAGAGTAGGAAGGTTTGAATTTCACAGATACCACATTCATTGTCTAGTTCTGTCCAAAGTTGAAAATGGACTTTTATATCCTGGACAGGACTCAGAGACCTACAACCCTATTCAATACATGCACTGGCCTAAACCCTCATGTCAACCATCTATGTACTATTTTAGTCTTGGACCTGTGCAAAAAAATGCCAATTATTTCACATGTTGCTAAAGGATGTTCCAGCTTGTGGTGGTTGTCAACAGCTCAAAAAGGCCATCAAGGGTACCTAAAAGTTAACACCATGATTGTTTTACCTTGCTAGTTCTCCACTCCCAGCCATCTCCTATCTGCTGTGAATGCTTAACAAATTCTTCACAGTGCTGCTTGAATCTTTTTTCTTCCAAAACGAAATCTTCTTCACCTGCCATGCTACAGGGTATCTGCAGAGCAAACTGAATGTTAGCACTGGCAGACAAAAAAAAACTAAAAAATTTCAATTTATAGCAACTGAACAATAAAACAACAAGGTACGGGCAAAGAAAATGTATTGCTTTAAGTAAAACAAAGACACATTTCTTCAAGCACATTAAGGAATCATGGCTATGCAGAACATCTGAGGGGGGAAGAGACCTTTGGAGGTTGCCTAGTCCATTCCCCCTGCTTACAGCAGTGTCAACTACAGCAGTTTCCTCAGGATCATTTCTGTTTGGCTTTTGATTATCTCCAAGGATAGATGTGTCACTGCCTCTCTAGGAAACCTTTTCCAGTGCTCCATTATCATAGCAGTAAATCTTTTTTCTTCTGTTTGACCAAAAACATTTATCAGTTTGTGCTCATTGCATCTTGTGCTGCTGCTCCGTGGTACTGAAAAAAAGTCTGGCTCCATCATCTTTATTCCCTCCCACCATGTATTCACAGACATTTATAAGATCTCACTGATCATTCTCTCCTCCCAGCTGAAGCGTCTCACCTCTCCCAACCTTGCCTTGTATGTCACACACTCTTAATCAGCTTCAGGGTCCAGTATGGTGGTGTCTTTCCTCTACTGGGGAGCCTAGAGCTGCAGTTTTAACATGTATTTCCTTAGCAGTGCAGTTCAGGAGGCAACCAGGAACCTGAATCTACCTCTGGGCTACTTCCATAGGCCTAACACCTTCTCCTTGGAGAAAAAACAATTTAACAACTCTAGTATATGATGGCCATCATAGTCCAGCTGAAGCCATTCCAGGTCATACCAGCAGTATAGCTCCCACCATTCCAAAAGCATGGCTTCAAACCCTTCCCTACCCTTCAAATGGATCCCTCACAACATCTTAAAGATAAACACTTTCTCAGAAAACGTGGTCATTTTTACTTTCCTCCTTCCCCATTTCAATAAGGATGTGTCATAAATAGAGCTAGTACTGCAGCATCACATACAAATCATGGAATGACAGAATGGTTTGGATTGGGAGGGATTTTAAAGCTCATCCACTCCCACTCACTGCCATGGGCAGGGACACCTTCCACTATCCCAGATTGCTCCAAGCCCTGTCCAACCTGGCCTTGGATACTTCCAGGAACAGAGCATCCACAGATGCTTCAGACCCCTCATCATCTCTGTGGCCTCTGCTGGACCCTCTCCAGCAGCTCCTGGTCTTTCTTGTCCTGAGGAACTAGACACATTGTTCCAGATGTGGCCCCACTAGGGCTGAGCAGAGGGGTAGGATCCCCTCTCTCATTTGCTGGCCATACTCCTCCTGATGCACCCCAGGATCCCACTGTCCCTCCTATACACCAGCATACCTGTGTAACAGACTTGTACAGCACAGCACACCACCCTTTCTCAGACCATCCCAAAAGAACAGTTCAGGAAAGACCAGGAGATACTGGAGAGGGTCCAGCAGAGGCCACAGAGATGATGAGGGGTCTCGAACATCTCCCTGATGAGCAGAGACTGCAGGAGCTGGGCCTGGTTAGTCTGGAGAGGAGAAGACTTAAAGGGGATCCCATCAAACCACACCAATATCCCCAAGGGATGTCTCAAGATGATCCCAGACTCCGTTCAGTGATGCTCAGGGACAGCAGCGAAGGCCATAAACTCAAACACAACAAGTTCCCCCTTAACATGAGGTAGAACTTCTTTCCATGGAGGTGGCAGCATCTGGAACAGCTGCCCAGGGTGGGTGTGGAGTCTCCCTTGTCTGAAGACATCTCAGACCCACCTGGACACGTCCCTGTGTCATCTGCTCCAAATGACCCTGTCTGGGCTGAGGTTGGACTGGATGATCTCCAGAGGTTCCTTCTAACATCAAAAATCCTGGGATTCTGTGAAAGAGCCACGGGCAGACCCGAGTGCCTCCGTCCCACTCGGACACGGGCCTCGCCAGCCGCTGGAGGCCAGGCCAGCACCGGACAGGCTCTTCCTCCTTCTCCTCGGCCTTCCCGCTCCCGGGACGACCCTCGCGGCCCCGCGGACGGGGCGGGGCAGAGCGGGAAAGGCAGAGGGAGGTGGCTGGAGCGGGAGGGACGACCCGCGCTTCACCGCCCCCGCATACCGTGCACTCCTCCTCCTCCTCTTTCCCTTTTTCCTCCTCTTTTCCTCCTCCTCCTTCTCCCGCTGGCCCCGTCCCGTCCCACGCGCATGCGCGTCCCCGCGGGCAGGGCGAAGGGGGAGGGAGGAGGCCGCGCGTGCGCAGAGCAGGGATGTGGGGGACGGGAAATCGGGAACGGGGGGAGGGGGGGAACGAGGGAGCGGGAGCGGTGGGGGGCTCCGGGCGATGGAGGGGCTGGTAGGTTTGACTGGGATAAGGGGGAAAGAGGGGTAGAGGGGGATGAGGGATGAGGAGGATGAAGGGGCGGGGGGGATGAGGGGCTGCAGGACCTGAGGGGGCGGGGGGGGATGAGGGGACTGAAGGGGATAAGTGGGATGTGGGAATGAGAGGGATCTGGGGTTGAGGGGGATGAGAAACCTGAGAGGGTGGTGGGGGATGAGGGGGCTGTGGGACTGAGGGAGCTACGAGGGATTAGGAGACTAAAGGGATGAGGGGGTTGTGAGGCTGAGAGGCATGAGGAGGGGTGGCAGGGTGTGAAGATCAAGAGGGGGATGAGGGGACCGAAGGGGATGCAGGATTGAGGGGGATGAAGGACCTGAGGGGGATGTGGAAAATCAAGGGGATGAGCAGCTCAGGGACTTTGAGGGGCTGCAGAGGATGAGGGGGGTCTGGGGCTGGGGAGGTACAAGAAGGCAGCGGGAATGGGGGGGATAAACTGGATATGAGGGATTATGAGAGGTCTGTGGGAATGAGGGAGCTACAAGGGATAAGGAGACTGAAGGGATGAGGGGGAATGCAGAGATGAGGGGGTGTCAGGAGCTGAGGGGGATGAAGGTCATAAGCAGGGTGAGCGTCCTGCCTGCCCCAGCCCAGTTGTTCCCACTGTGAGGCACTGTGAGGGGCAGGTTCCCAGACAGCCCCTGGAAAAGCCCTCCCTGTCGCCCAGCTCTGCTGTCAGCCTCCTCCAGCCCCCCAAAAATGTGAGCCAAGCTCAGCTCAGCCCAGGCTGTTCTTCCAGGAGCTCAGCAATGCCATTGTTCATCTAAACATTGATCACTTTCACAGGCTTAGTTACCTTCCTCTCCCCGTAGGATAAATATATAAATCTTACTTTTTGAGGGGGAAGTGGGAAGTTAAAATGGCCATGCGGTCACCTGAGCATTGTGTCATCTCATGCTCCTTTCTCAGCTGTTTCCAGAAGATGCCCAATAGTATTTTAGTATTCCCTCCACTACCCAAATCATTGTCTCTGTAACTGCCTGTAGATCTGAGAGTTTGGTAGGTGTGCCAAAGTCGCTTTGCTACACAAATGCTGGGAGAATTATTTTTAAATTTATAAGTATTAAACAATACATTTTTCACTGGTAAAGTCTTGTCTGGTACAACTAAGCTTTCCAAACTGCAGTGGGTGCAGGGTGCACTATGTTGGGATAGATGTAAAGTGTTTGTTTGACCTATTTAGCTCTAAACTGCCATTTTAAATGGTTTCATGACTGTTAACAGTATACTGGAGGTACCCCATCAGTGTGGAGACCACCCTGCTCAGGGAGAGCCTCCATATGCAAGTGGTGGGTTGTGATGTGACATTCTCCAACTGTGCCTTTCCTAATTTCCTTGTGATTTACTGAGTGTGGAGAGCTCATGAGGGACCAAGTTTTGGTAGGTTTTTTTCTGGAATATTCCTGAAATATACCATTTCTCTTTGTTCTTAAAATTCCTGTTAGCATCCAAGTCTTTCAAATATGTACCTTAATTCATATTTAAAGATGATTTTCACTACTCCAAATCAATTAAATGTTCTATCTAAGTTTGCAGTTTTTAACATAAGGTATAAATAAGCTGAGTTTTGCTTCGTTAAGTTATTCTGGAGAATTATTAATGGCATGATGTGCCCCCATAGTTAGTATTTTGACTGCATATATCATCTTTAAAAGCAGCTGCCTAGATTGAGTGATGCCATTATAACTACAGGGTGTGATGCTGTAGCTATTTTTTAATCACCAGAATTAATTATTGGTCTCATTCTTCACCGTTTATTTTAAATGTTGGTGTTTTGAAATTTGGTGAGTAAAACACCATGTTGTCACCCAGCCCTGAGTTTTGAGGGAGAATTTCTGCATTGTGGAGTGTAGTCTCTAAGCCATTTTTTTGCTAGCAGAAAATACCTGTGGTATTGAAAAAATGTCACATAATGTGCATTGCCTTGGAAGCTACAGCTCCTGATTTCTAATTTTAGCTTTGTTACTGTCTCTCTGGATTTTCTTAGGGAAGAATTGTTGGGTTTGAGCCACAGTTCATATAAAAAGTGGCTGATGGGCCACTCATGATGCCCTGGTGTTGCATCGGAGTCGGCAAAGGAGTTGCCATGGCTGAAAAAAATCAGGCTGATGGGATTCACGGTATGTTCTTGTAGCACCTGGTATCAGCTTGGTCATCTCCAGTACCGTTGCCGGGGCACTGCAGTTGGTTGCAGTGAGTGCCTCTTTATCAAGGGAAATGCATTTGCTGTAGTTCTAAAATTACTAGATAAGAAGTCCCAAAATGGGGGATTCTCCCCTTTCTCTTCCTCCTTTTACCTGAATAAATGTCTCAGGTTTCCGTTTCGTCTTTGCCATACAAAAGCATAAACAGTCCTGGTCCTCTTGTCACTATTAGATGTTTATGTACTTAAATGCATAAAAGGTTATCAGACCATTTTGTTTTCTTCTAAGCATATTAATATGCATTTGAATATATATTTTTTATATATCATCATTGATTAATGGTGATGAATGACCAAAATCATTGATACAAGTATAAAAATTTTGTCAAATGTTAGAAGAATTATCATTTTTGAGAATAAACTATATTTGTCATAGGAACTGTGTTGACTGGTGTATTAGGGAAGGTTCGGGACATACTGAAGCTTGCAAACCAAGACACTGTTGAAAGCTCAATAAAACAGATATTTATTACATAGAAGTGGCTGAAATAAACTGGCATCCGGGAGAAAGAGAAAACCAAAGAGGAGATACAACACCCTACTCACTTAGGTGCCATTTATGGGATGATCTTACCCGCTCCAGACACTATAAAATCCTCTGCAGCAGCTGCATTTACCGGAGGGTTAGCAGGCTCCCACGATAGCAGGCGTCCTCGCTAAAGGCAACTTGATCCTTTGTGTAGAGCAAGCCCACCACACATGGAAAACCTGCCTGCTGTTATACAATCCATTGAGCACCTCTGCCCGGGAAGGTGTGGCCAGTACCGCCCTGCCAGAGGTTCCCAATCCCACTCTCTTGGTTATGTAAGCTCATCCCTTCAGCTCATGCGTGAGAACTTCGGAAATCCCCCGGCGCACGCGCAGTATGCTTTAGGGGTCTTTTCTAATTGAGTTGGGGGTCGAGCCTTCCTCCTTTCTTCTTCGATTTCTCCTTCAAATGCCCTTGGCAGACAATGAACCAATAGTAGAACACCAATTAAAATGGTTTATACAGAAGTTCTCCCTCCAAGGACGAATTCACTGTTTTATCACTGAACTTGGCAGGGAGAATATAAACTACTACAGGTGGCTGGGGCCAAACACAGACCAAAAAATATCAACATTCCCGCTACAACTGGGAATTTTAGAATTGGACTAAATAAAGATCATGGAGAATAATCCTTTATCAGCCAGACTGAATGATCTCTGAAAGGTCTTTTTCATCTCTTCATCCTGCTCTTTCCTCCCAGGAAACACAGCTTCATTCCAAGCCCATTGATCAGTCAGGCAGTTCAGGCAGCACTCTACTCTCCAAAGGAAAATGGTGACATTACAGCTCTTGGAGTGACAGAATTAACACAATATACATCCAATTCCACGAATCCCCCTCAATGTGGCTCCTCTTCTGAGCCATTCACAGTAATCCTAATGCTGTTTCTTACATTTTGTTCTTTGATTACTCTTAATTTCTGATGCTGAGTGCTGTTGCTAGACAAAATGATACAATAATCTGTTCCTGTCAGTACCTGGGTTGCAAAAGTTTGTGATAAAAGAATATTGCCAGACAGGCCAAATCAGAAATAATGGGGTAACCAAAGCAAAATGCTAATGAAAACACCTTGTGAGGCTGTTGGACAGCATGTTCAAATCCATTCACTTGTGCTGTAACACGAAGTTCCTTCATTTGCCATACTAATATGTAATAAGAGTTAAAAGTGAAATACTCTGCATTCTCCTGCTTTGTTTGTTCAGAGAGTTGAAATTCTAACCCCTGACAGAACTTGGTGAGTGGAGAGTTACTCTTTCCAAATTGTTAACAAACCCTATTTTACTGTAATCACTGTAATACCAGCATGCTCCTATGAAGTACACAGGGAGTGTTATTTTTCCTTTTGCTGGCAGAAAAGGAGGAATCTAGTAACCTGTTGAAGGCTGTGGTGACTGCTCGGCCAGTGAATGGAGCTGAATTTTGTTGACACATGGTCTGTGCCTTCAACTGTTCGTGCTCTTGAGCCCTGTGACTGTGCTGAGAGAAAGCTCAAAAGGAAATAAACTGAGAAGTACACAAACAGCATTCATTTTTTATGAGGGTTTTTCACTCCAGCAGCAAACACTTCCAACCAGCACTGAAGGAAGTACTGCCACTATGCAGCAGTTGTTGCCACCTTCTGCTTTTAGCAGTTTTCCCTACTTATTTCTTTTTATATAAAAGTTTAATAATTCTTTCAGGATTTGGATCATTTTTTCATCTGTTTTGTATTCTCTTTCTGTTACTGTTAATTCATGTTTCTTTCTTGTTTTCCTTAATTTTTTGTCTCCTATTAGCCCAATACATATGAAACTCAACTTCAGACTCTATAGTAAATACATATAATTGTAATAAATGAGTTCTTATCTTTCTCTCTTGTTTTACTAAACCAGCACAGCAAATCCTTATTAAACCAGCAAACCTACACTACCACTGTCCAGTTTGCTAAAACTAGGTAAGTCAGAAACCAATCAGTGTGTGAAATACTTTTGTAAGTAGATCAGAACTAGGATTAATTTTACTGAAATAACATAAATAAAGCCTGATGCTAAGATCCATGGTAAATTACTCATCTGCAGAATTCTGC